TTCGCATCCGAAGTATTTCGGTTTTTCTTAATTATGTACTTACCCCATGCTTTCGGAAAATACATTGACTATGACATTATTTGCGGTCTCTGTGCTTGCACTACTCTGTACATTCTTTTCCGACTGGGTCTTGATATTTACATTTTTAGTGTTTCTCACTTGAAACTAGAAAAGTATAAATGATCAGTTTGGCTAATGTAAATGTGTAAAAATGCAACCTATTAGGCAGCCTCAAACAAAAAATTACCTTACAAAAATATAAGTATTAACCTCAAAATACAACATTCGAGCAGCGTTCATGCGATAAACTCTCTTTGTTTTACGACTTAGGTAACATTTATTTCTTTTCCTACCCATATTTACATTTATAGTCACTTAAACGCGTATAAAACACTAAATTAACGATTTTCGCTACAGACACATCAACTGTTGTTACCTTACGTCACACGTCGAAGCGCCTGGTAATTTATTACGGCAAACTTTTATCTGGCAGTATACGATATTATTATTAGGTGTTTTTAATTAAAACGAATTATGTTAATAAATAACATTTTGTATTAAAAATAAAGATAGCAGGCCCCTTCGGAATCCCTATACAAACATTTTTACGTAAAAGAATTTTTCCTAAATTAAAATTCACAGAGTTTTGGAAGAACAATAATTTTATATATCATTTCTTAACATTTTTTTTTATTTGTTGGTATATTCATATTTACATTATTCAGTACCTTGTGAAGGACCCGAACAAACCTACAAAAATGTTTTAAAGCTTAGAATTACTTCAGGTCCAGTTCAGTTCAGTTCCAGGTCAGTTCTAGTCAAGAGAAATACATTAATTTTCGCCAATTCTCTTCGTATTCGACCTTAAGTGACAACTAATTTATTTGCGTGCATAAACAGCTAACAGTGGATAGCGATAAGTTAATTTACTTGCATTAAGAAGTTAAGCTCAAATTTTTGCGTAGCTATGTACAAAATACAAACGTTTAAAGAAATAGGTTCAGCTATTTAAATTCTAACTATTCAACAGTGGGCACCAATTAATTACATGCTAGTAAAGACGTTCAAGTCAAGTTTCGGTTAACTAGCAAATGCTGCGGCGAAATAATAGTAAGAAATGATAGCCAATTAGCTGTTAGGTAAGCAAACAAGTGTAAATAGGTGATTTTAAATCGTTGGGTATGTAGATTGTATGTAGGTTTAACTAGGTAATTCTTTTAGGATTGGTTTAATAGGTATTTTATTTGGTAGGATTATTGAGTAGGAATATTTTGTTTAGATTAGCAGTTTTATGTATATGCGAAAGGGTATAGGATAGACAAGGAATAAAAGATGTTGCTTAAGAATGGGTAGGTAAGGTAAGGCAACAAAAATTGGCTTGTTTCCCTGTTCACAAAAATAAAATTTTTTAGGAATATTGGGACACGAAGAGGTTAAATAACAGGAACGGGCTCACTTTTAGCTGGCAAAACCGCTGCTGTGGCGCGTAGACTCCGCTGGACCTCAGCTTGGCCGGTTCTCAATAGCTACCCTCTTGTCTTCTCTCCGCTTCAGATGAATTCTTCTTGACCGCTTCGTTGTTCTTAGGAATCGGGATGGTACGCCGATTTAATCATCTTCGTAAGAGATGTAGTAGATCAGCGCGGCTTCTATTGTTGGTAGCTCGTGGTACTTGCGTTTGCGACGTTGTAAACGCATTGTAAGTGCCACGCCCTTTGACCGTACTACGCGGCAGAATCGGAGTTCGTTATTTTAATTTATCACGGTTGCCATTATGTTCAATTAGGGAACATGAATAAAATAGGCGACTCACACGATAGGCATATTGTTTATTTGAATAATCAAAATAAAAACTAATTTGGTGGTGATCGGGTCGCGAGCTATCGGCGAGTGACGGCCTTAGGCGCGGTGGTGAGAAAGCCCTCCGCGTTTCTCGTACTCCCCGCGAACACCGTCGGTGCTGACGTAACGGCGCCGACACAAGTTACCCAAAAAGGTCGAAACTGCGGAATGTTGCCAAACTTATTTTATATGCCACTGTCGTCAGACAATTTTTGTTCAAGATTTTCATAGTGTCGCTCAATATACGGTTTTTTATTTGACTCTTTGACCTTACAATACTTTTTCAGTTTTATAAATTATTCTCATTTTTTAGAAAGTCTTACATATTTTTTAACCCTAATCCATTGAGCATTTATTTTTCTGGAGCCAAACTTTTTGTACAAGTCGTGTCTGAAAAACAGCTTTGAAAGATGAAGCAATTTATGCATCTTCAAAAGATCTGGTTTCATAATCTCAAAGTATTTCTTTTTCTCAATATGTTTCTTTAAGTTAATATACCTGTTGTTAATTGTTTAGTAATAACTTAAGACAAAAGAAGTTTGCTTTTCACAACTTCAGGCACTTCGACGTTCTTCAAGAGTGCTGACAGTTTAGCTTCAGGGGATGACTGAACATTCTTGATTTGCCTTTGACATATCTTTATCTCTCGATATTTCGCTGTTTTTCTTATTATATATTTAAAATTTTCCTGTAATCTAGATATTTTCGCATAATGTATTAGTCTAAGTCTTCTTAGTTGCTGCCTTCTCCGAATAGCTACTAGGTCTATAACCACATTGTTATTTTAATTACTCAGTACTAGGCTAGATGGAGGTGTCTCGTCTAAAATTCTTGCCAGATTCTTACGTACTTTCGCTGTTTTTTTTCCATTATTATGGCTATTATTCTTCCAGTTTGTTCTTTTTTGCCGTCTTTCTCAATAATCAATACTCATAGAACTCATAGCATCAATAGGTTTTACTTGGCCTTTTTCTTTTTTCTCAGATATTTCAGTCTTTATTTTTCGCAAAGTATTTCAAAATTTACAGGATCGGATTTTATTTTCTCTTTTCGTTGCCTATCGTATATTTTCGTTTTTAATTTCGCTTTTTCTTTGCTTATCTTCTTTCTTCTTGGCATTATATGACTCTACAATAAGACGGAAGTGGTAAATTCAAGAGTTAAGAAAAGAGTAATTAAAAAGTAAACTGACCTCAATCAAAAATCATTCCCTCACTACAAATTAATATAAGGGGATGACGGTGAGAAAATGACGAAACTAAGCATAACTAAAAAAAAACTCGTAACATAACCTTACTTTTAAAAAGTTTTTTGCATAAGTTAATTACTTCCAAAGGCCTACTTCACTGTGTATTTTATAACTGTTAAAGTATTTACCTCTTGTTTTTGCAGGATGTAATGGAATGACTGTCAAAAATGTAATCTTTTAAAAACGGTACTTAAACGTTTTTTTCATTGCAAACTCCAAGATATGGAGTGTAGAAGTAAGGAGTACAGACTGTGTATTAAAAAGTGTCCATAGAAAAACCTTAAATAAGGGTGGCGCCACTATAACATCGGGGTATACTTTAAAGAACGCACCAAAAAATATTAGTGGGATAGATGAATTTTACGAAGTTATATTTACTAAATAAAATTATTTTAGATTTAAGAGCTACTGAGCAGTTTAGCAGCACACTTAAACCGACGACAACTGTTAAGTTCATTTGATCTCAGTAGCTACTCCAGCGCTGTTGTGGAGAGTTTTTGAGCTGTTATTTACTGCTTACAGATGGCCACTTTTTCAACTATTCTACTATGGGAGTTGGTACTCCTTGCTTCTACACTCCATACTCCAATATATATATATTTTTTAATTGAAATTGGTTCTTTACTTTATAATCCAAATTAGATTTTTTTCATTAATGTATTTTATTTTGAATTGACCGGTAAAACTTGCAGGGTTTATATTACATTTTTTGTATGTTTAATAATGTAAAGTTATTTCAATTTGGAGCTTGGGACACAGTGAGGGAATAATTTTACGGGCATTATATAGTATATATTTTTTTATTTATACGATATCCAAAACGATACGTGTAAATTTTAACCACATTAGTATAAATTGCAAAGGAATTTTGATTACCGGTAAATGGTTCTTATATTTTTGTTAAAACTTAAAGGTCAAGAATTTAGAATTTTCATGAGAATTACTCTGGCACGTACGCTGCTGTTCCAATTGCACATAAGTTATATTTAGCTAAATGATTTAATTTAAAATAATGTTCAGCGGTGATAAAAAATTCACGATAAATGTTGAAAAGCGCGATCGAATATTATATATTTTTTGAAAGCGTATGGTAGAGCACTGAAAGCGATTGCTTATCTAAGAAGTCATGTTGATATCATCACGATGAGCGGTATAAGTCGATCATGCGTAATATGGTACATAATACTCTAAATTTTGAAATATTAATGTTTGGCACTATTGGACTTGGGTCATTCTCAAAGTTGTGAGCTCAGCTCAGATCAATAAAAGACAGTTGTTTCGATGTTATAGACAGACACTTCTTTTTATTTATATGTACAGATAACTGATTTGGAACCGTTAATTACTTACACATATTACATACTCGTACGCTACACTAAGACGATTGTGCTCAATACAGTCTACCAACCTGTAGCTCTTAAAGTGATAGGCGACTTTTTTTATGATAGGGACAACCCTCCACCTCCCATGGCCCTACCAACCTTGCGGTTATACGGGCCGAATCACAAGAGGTGCACTGAGGTCCACGTGGTACTTGCTCAGAGCTCTTTCCCGCGCGCACTTTCTTGACTCTCTACAAGTTATTTAATCTACTCCTAGTCCCATTTTCCACTCTCCCTTTCTGGGCTGGACATACAAAGAACACCTTCGGTTCCGGGCTGTTCTTCACCTGACTGTTTTTTCTCCAAGGCAGGCCTCCTTACGTGCCATCCGTGCGCAAACTCGCGAAGCCGAACAAAGTTCTCCTGCCCATCAATGAGTTCCGTGTAGTAAGCCGGGCCAATCTTTCCGCGTACTATTCCATCCATGATCTTACACCGCAGGTCGTCATAGACCATGCACCCCCACAGAAAGTAGTGCCTATCCTCGTAGGCTGCTCCACACTCACACATACTCGATTCAGCTAAGCTTAAGTGGTAATAGGTTGACGTTGAAGTGCGGCCGGTGTTTTATACATACGTATTATGTGGCAAATGTTCAGCAGCAGATATGTTATTGACTGCAATAATGTTGATAATGGTTTTCATTTTGTGAATATATAAAGTATACTATTAAGAATATAAAATAAAACAAATAAATATTTCTTTATCGAACTTAATAAGTATGATGACAAATGGCAAGCTGTTGTCTCGCTTATTTATCTGTCAAGCGCATTTAGTCTGTACATAAAGCTAATAGGCAGGATATGCACAGAGAAGGGGAGTCAGCAGCGCACCCTTCGTTAATCCGTATGCACGACTGGACGACCTGATTAATGGTTCAGATTAGTGAGTAATACCCAGACACGAAAGGTATATTTTGGAACCATTTTCACTAATTGGCCAATTTTTTTTTTCGTGATATTAATGAGTCTATGCTTACATAACAAACATAGTTTGCGTTATTGCAACTAAGATAATCTATCCTTTGTTACATTAACATTATCATACATGTATAAATTTGAACATATTACAAACGTCAATATAAAATGAAATGAATGAAAATGACATTATATATATATATATATATATATATATGTGTGCGTGTGTGTGTGTGTGTGTGTGTGTGTGTGTGTGTGTGTGTGTGTGTGTGTGTGTGTGTGTGTGTGTGTGTGTGTGTGTGTGTGTGTGTGTGTGTGTGTGTGTGTGTGTGTGTGTGTGTGTGTGTGTGTGTGTGTGTGTGTGTTTTTTTTCTATGATTTTCAATAATGATAATTTAGACGACAGTTTTTTTTGCCTCGGTGATTCAGATGGATTGAGCAGTAATGACAGTTATCATAGCATCCCTTCTTTAAGTAAAACTCTTGATTCTCATTTCTCAGATACTCTGAAAAACTTTAATGTTGTTCATATAAATGCCCAGAGTATTCCCGCACATTATCCTGACATGTTGTCCTCATTTTATAATGAAAATATACATGCGATATTAGTTTCTGAATCTTGGTTAAAACCATGTTTGCCTTCAATATCTTACTCTCTTCCCGGATTCCACTTGATTCGCAACGACCGCCTTGGGCGCGCTGGCGGTGGCGTGGCGATCTATTTAAGACCACACATTCCTTACACAGTTTTAAATACTTCGCAGCCAGTGTCTAGCGCCGGCCCAGAACACCTATTCATCGAAATATTGTTTGGACATTTAAAGCTTCTTCTCGGTGTCTATTACAGTCCAAATGTTACAATTGATTATTTTTCAGCATTTGAAATTCTTTTAGAACAATACTCCTCGCTTTATAATCACACTATTGTCATGGGAGATTTCAATACTTGTCTTCTCAAAAATGATGCTAGAGCATCCCGTCTGAAATCTCTTGTTAATGGCATTAACTTACATATTCTCCCACTTTCAGCAACTCATGCTTTTCCTAATTGTGTACCTTCTCTCCTTGATTTAATACTTGTTTCTTCCATTGACCATGTTGCAAAGCATGGTCAATGCAATGCCTCCGCTTTTTCTTACCATGATCTACTTTACCTGTCCTATAAATTAAAACCTCCTAAGGCTAAGCGAAGGATCCTACTCCGGCGCAATTTTAGTAGAATGGACCTGGATAAGTTACGAGAAGATACTGCTAAGGTTGACTGGTCAGTAGTTGCGAATGCTGGTTCGGTTGATGAGCAGATATCTATTTTTAACAGCATACTTACACAACTGTATGACATTCACGCTCCAATTCGTCCAGTTCGAATGAAGCATCTTCCTGCCCCCTGGCTCACTGCCGATATAAAAAAACTTCAAGAAAAAAAGAACATAGCGAAATCTAAATATCGTATGAATCCTAATGATTCTAACCAAGAGAAATATAACAGGGCACAAAATCGCTGCAATATGGTGTGTAGGGATAGTCAACGACGCCATATCCATAAATCTGTTGTTGAGGAAGATAACTCAACTAAAGTTTGGAACTTTCTCAAATCTTTAGGGGTTGGAAAAGCAAAGCGTAATGTAGAATCTCTTAATTTGAATTTAAATAAGCTTAATGCTCATTTCCTCTCTAGCGCCACTATAGACAGTGCTACGAAGAAAAATACACTTGCTCAACTTTCTGCTATATCAACTCCCAATTTTTCCTCTTTTGTCTTTAGCCAAGTTACTGTCAGTGATGTTAAGAAGAATATATTAGCAATAAGAAAAAAAACATAGAGCGGTTGTGACACATCCGCCTCCTGATGTAAGGTTGGATGGGGTAGGGCATTTGCCCCGATACCTGGATGACAAGTTCGCATCAAAATGCCGCCATAGCCAATGCTCATCCCGTTGTCGCACTATATATATAAAATGTAACGTATATTTATGTATTTTAAAAAATAACTGTTTCCAGTTATATCATAAAAATAAGTGATATTTTTACTAAGACAGTCCTCAGGTGCACATATGTGCACACATGATATTTATTTTTTTTAAACCAAATAAAAATAAATTTTGTAATATATGTTTTGTTTGCTTCCCTATGAACCTGGAAAAATGTTTAAAAGTCATTTAATCCACTTCCTTTCTATCTGGGTCTGAAGAGGTTAAACCTCAAGCGCGTAATTTTTATTCGTTTTATTTGTTTTAAGTACGTATTTTTCAATAACATATGTAATTATAAAATGGTTTTCTTTTTATTTTGCATTCTTTACTTTTTCATTATATACACTTCGACACGACAGTGATTTGTCATAAACTATTGTTACAAAAGTTTGCCATGTTCCATGACTTTTATAGTCATGGGAAAAAATCAACAATAAAACCCAGCGGGATTTTTTTAACATTATTTACTGTATAAATATGTTGTTTAATTTAATATGAAAACATTTATGAACAGCATGGTAATTTTCACCTTATTCTTAGGGGTTATTACTATTCATGTTATTTTGAGTCATATAATCCATAATAAAAGATTAATTTTTAATAAAAAATTTAAACTTTCCGGTAGATAGATAGATCTTGCATATTTTCTAAGACTTTGTTGTTAAATCCTTCACCATTGTGAAGGAATTACTGATTCTTTAGAGTCGAGTTAATGGTATTACTAGCTTGTGCTTGTTCCTGGTGTTTACAAAATGCATATTTCTATTTTTAATAAAACTATTTTGTTTTCGTGTTCAAAAATTATATTTTCGTAAATATACTGAGAGGCCAAAGTCAATGTATTTATATTCTTTTTTTTTGGATTCTTCTTTGGACTTAGGTTACAAATTACTGTTATATGCTTTTTATGAGAACCAAAAGCTGTAAAAGGAAAAACACAAATTATTGTATATCAATTTGGTTAAGATGCATGCCTCCTACTGCATCCTAGCATAAATGTATCTTACCAAGTGAGTGTGTTAGCGGATTATTTGCGCAACTGCTAACAGTGTATGTAAATTATTACCGTGGGTGGTCGAAAAAAGCTAGCAATTTTGTTTATTAAAGGTTTTCCCCGTAATTTTAACCACACACTATAAAATAGTAAACAGAAGTAATATATCTTTATCTTTACGTTCTAAAAATTGCTAAACGGTAATTTCGTAGAGACGGTAAATGTTGTAAAGCTCGATCAATTAATCTTCTTGCAAGAAGCGGATGGCTAAGCAATGAGTGTAATCGCTGATCTAGCAAGTCATGTTCAAATTATCCCAATGAGCCCGTTATAGTACTTAGTAGAAATATCCTGACAGAGTTTTACAACATAAACCGATGTTTTATGGTAAAGGGTTGATATATTATTTTAAAATTATTAAAAAATTATGCAGTCAGGTAAATTGCTGCAATGTAGAAAACATCATCATCATCATCATCATTACAGCCCTTCACAAGTCCACTTCTGAATATAAACATCCCCCAAGGGATGCCACATAACACGGCCTTGAGCCATCTATCGATTTCCCGGACGTTTCACGAGGTAATCACTCCATCTAGTGGGTAGCCGCCGTAAAGTTTGCCTACCGGTACGAGGTTGCCACTCAAGAACCTTTCTTCCCCATCGGTTGTCGGTTCCTCGAGCTATATGGCTGGCCCATTGCCACTTCAGCTCACTAAACCATTGGACTCTGTTGCGAATCCCTGCTCTATTGTGGATAACTATAAACTTGGAGATAAGCAGCAGCTCAAAACAATTACATAATAATTGATAGAATCAGGCGTTACTTTGCGAAAATCCATTATATTAAAAATATTAATTACTTTGCAACCTTCCGCTAACTAAATACAATGATGTATCTTACCTGGATTGAAGAGCACCTCCTGCCCTCCCACAATTGCATGCACTAACTACGTCACCACTAGTCCCAGCGCCACTACTTCCAACACCACTATTCCAGGTAAGACACACCATCGACGATAAAACGAGGCTGACTGGGATTAGCTCGTTTGCAGAAACGGCTACAGTAATAATTTCAGTCGGCAGACTACCCCACATGTCGGTCACCACGTGAGCCAGGTCCAGATATTTTGTTCGTTTATCTGTTTCGGCTTTCAAGAGGTTCTCGTCATACGGAATATTAATGTCGACCAAAAATATCCTTGACTGTGTCCGGTCCATCAGCACAATATCAGGCTTATTCGCAAGAATAGTCCTGTTTGTGATGATGGCCCGGTCCCAGTATAGCCTGGCGCGATCATTTTCGAGCACGGCTTCCGACAAGTACTTGTAATACGGCAATTTCCGGTCCACGAGACCGTATTTCAGAGCGAGCTCCTGGTGAAGAATTCTGGCTACTAGGTTGTGCCTGTGCAAGTACTCAGAGTTAGAAAGCGCCGAACAACCGGAGATGACATGCCTAAGTGACTCACCGGGATGGCGACAAGCTCGACAGATGTCGACGGTGCCATCCTTTAGGATGTTTCTCCGATAGTTGTTAGTCTTAATAACCTGATCCTGTATAGCACAGACAAAACCCTAGGTTTCTCCGAAGAGGTCACCAAAGCGTAGCTAGTAGAGGGAGGCTACTGCGTCTACGAAAGACTCATGTAGATCTTTGTAGAACCTCCCGTGGAGCTTTTTCTCCTTCCATACGGTCTCCCGGTCGGAAATGCTCTGTACTGCCGTGTCTTGCCATTGCTCGTTGGCTAAGGATAGAGGGGTAAGTCCTTTATCACAAAAAATGACGTCCTTATAGAATGGATCATCCGATCTCACCAGGAAGTAATTACGGAGGCCGCATACTTCGCGATTATGCATAGTGAGCGCGCTCAAAAAACCACCCCTACCATGCTTTCGCATCAAGTACAGCCTCATTACCGACGATCTCGGATGATGCATCCTATGGGACGTCATAGTAGTGTAGACTTTTCTATCCAGAGCGTTAAGTTCAATCTGAGTCCACCTGAGTATGCCAAAGGTATACATGAGGATAGGTATGACACAACCGTTATATGCGTGTGTCTCATTCACTTTGGTCAAGCGTGCATAAAACACGTCTCAAACTGACTATTTCATACCAGCCTCATCGATACCGATGTACTGTGACACAACCAGGTATCGGTATGTTTCAGCCTCGGAAAGGGTCCTTAAACTGATGGGCATAGATAAGTCAATGCCCTCAGAGTTAGCAGTCTTTCCCCTTTCAACATGGAGGACCGCACACTTATCCGTCCCCAGTTCCATTCCAATAGAATTGCTAAATTCACAAGTGATGTTTAGCAATTCCATAAGATGGAAGCGATTGGAGGCGAATAATTTGAGGTCATCCATATAGAAAAGGTGGGTCACTTTTGTACCTCCTTTCCGAAGCTGAAATCCCCTCCCGCAGCCCTCCAGTAAAGTACTGAGAGGGTTCAAAGAAAGGCGGAACCAGATTGGACTCAGACAGTCGCCCTAGAAGATACCCCTTCTTATCCTTATGTGGATTTCCGCAGCAATCATCCGCTCGGCCAGATGACAAAGGATCATACTCCACTGCCCCATACATTTTACGTGGTACCATTTTTACGTGGTAGAGCCTGCAGTTATATTAGTAGTATAGTTGTAGTACGAATGGGTCGGCTCGACCGGGGAAGGACTACGCTCTCACAGAATACCAGCGTAAAATAGTAGCTTGATACTGCTGTATTTCGTATGGTGAATGTAGAAAACCGGAGACCCTTTTTACTGGAAACGAGGCATTCCATCTTAGTCCTCACGGGTAACAACGCATCTGCATTTTGATTCGTAATCGAGGATAGATGTAGATGTCTATGGGCCACAGCAACCACTTACCATCAGGTGGACTGTGTGCTCGTTTGTCACCCTATCCTATAAAAAAACACACTGCTCGAGGAAGTCTCTAACTGTACAGTCTTATATCTTGTACAGCTCGAGGACTCTCTTTAGCCATGTATGGGGTACCGAGTCGAATGTCTTTCTGTAGTCTATCTTGGCGGCGGAGAAGTTCCGACGGTTGCGTTTCACCACTTTGCCAATGACAGCGTCAATGAGGAGTGGTTCCTTGGTTTCACGACCACCGCCCCGACATCCATTTTGAGCGCGCGACATCACCTGATTTGAGTCCAGCTGTCGAGTGATTTTCGCGCTCAAAATGGATGTCTTGTATATGGTCAGTAGACACGTTATGGGGTGGTATTTACTCGGGTCTGTGGTATCCTGGTCTTTAGGAACCAAATGAGTGCTCCCAGTAGAGAAGAGGCTCGGGAGCGACTTCTGGTTGAGAGCCTCTTGATACTGTCGGGCGAGCACAGTGTGACACACCACAAACCCCTTCAGCCAATAGTGATGCAGCCCGTCGAGTCCCGGACTTTTCCAGTGCGGGGCAATACGGACCGCCTCAGCTACGTCATCCGGCGTTATAATGACGGGGTCCATGGGCGTTATACTCGAACATTGACTCGCCACAACTTCCGTCCAAGAGCCCTCGCTGTGGTTTACGGGCTCTGACCACAGGCCACGCCAGAATGTTACATTGTCGGCCTGATTCGGTGCTGGGCCCGTTCCACTTGCCATTGGTCGCTCTAATGATTCATAGAGCCTCTTCTGATCACTCTGGAAGAGACGATTCTGGTTGAACCGAGTCGACCTCTCGGTATATCGCCGAATCCGCTTTCCCCAAGCAGCGATTCTCTGCTTCTGATCATCTATGCGCTCCGTCAGTTTTTGCATTATATCCGGCGTGGACAAACTGACATTTGTCCCAGCAAATGCCATCTTGACGGTGCGCACAATTCTTGGCCTGTTATTTCCTGATCTGAAGCATATCAGTCTGCCGATGAGAGCTCTAGCCTTTGCGATACGCTCGTCAATTCTTTTTCTCCATGCTGGGATAACGCTACTTTGGCCAGTAGCGCGTCCAGCCGTGGAAACCTTGGCGCCTATGATACGGCAGACTGCCAGCGCGGCGCCAAAAAGAATTGAGTCCGTATCGCAAAGGTCGCAAAGGTCGCTCGCAAAGGGGAAATCACGGTCGATTTTCGAGAGGCGTACTGCGCGTTTCCATAATCGCCTCTTCCAATGTGGAGTACATTGGAAGAGGCGATTATGGAACACACAATGTACTACTCATTTGCTCTATTTCTAGTTCCTAGGCGAATGTTCCATCATCATTTGAATCAGCCACCACTGGGGTATTCACGGCGGTAACCACGTGTGCGGGTTGTTCTTAAACTTGTTGTACCGCATCCTCAGCCGTAGCATTTTCATTTGATGAGGGAACAGCCTCATGTCGCAGCCGTTCGAGTTCGGCGTCATCAAATATATTTGAGCGCAAGATATACCGAACTCGGTCTGCCAGGTTTTACTCGGTGACGGTTACAGATGGCTCCAGCTCAGCAAAAAGTCGATTAAATATTATTATAATTTTTGTGGTATCTATATAATTTTCTCATCTGTTTGGTTTCTATAAATATATAAATATAATTTAAAATGAAAAGATAAATATACATAAATATCAATAAAATAAAATAAATACAAAATATACATAAATAAATAAGATTCAACAAGATGGAAGTCCTTGGCAGGGGGAGACCAAACGGCCGAGGGTTAGGGGGAAAGGGAAAGAAATCGGCGGACGAGGCGGGTGGTATCGAGGAGCACCGCCTTCTGCATTTGAGCCCGGAGCGGTCCGTCACGGAGTCCTAGTCGCCTCAGATGACCCGAGAGGCTGACTGGGATTAGCCCATTCGCAGAGACGACTAGAGGAATAATTTCGACCGGCATACCACCCCACATGTCAGTCACCTCGTGAGCCAGGTCCAGATATTTTGTTCGTTTATCTGTTTGGGCTTTCACGAGGTTCTCGTCACACGGAATGGTAATGTAGACAAAATGTCCTTGACTGTGCCCGGCCCATCAGCACAATATCAGACTTTTTCGCTATAATAGTCCTGTCTGTGATGATGGCTCGGTCCCAGTAGAGCCTGGCACGGTATTTTCGAGCACGGCTTCCGGCAAGTACTTGTAATACGGCAATTTTCGGTCCAAGAGACCATATTTCAGAGCAAGCTCCTGGTGTAGAATTCTGGCTACTAGGTTGTGCCTGTGCAAGTACTCAGAGTTGGAAAGCGCCGAACAACCGGAGATGACATGCCTAAGTGACTCCCCGGAATGGCGACAAGCTCGACAGACGTCGACAGTACCATCCTTTAGGATGTATCTCCGATAGTTGTTGGTCTTAATAACCTGATCCTGTATTGCACAGACAAAACCCTCGGTTTCCCCGAAGAGGTCACCGAAACGTAGCCAGTTGAGGGAGGCAGCTGTATCTACGTGGGGCAAATGTAGAGCGCTGTAGTACCTCCCGTGGAGCTCTTTCTCTTTCCCGTTCGGAAATGCTCTGTACTGCTGGGTCTTGCCATTGCTTGTTGGCTAAGGATAGAGGGGTAAGTCCTTTATCACTAGAAATGACGTCATTATAGAATGAATCATCCGATCTCGATAGGAAGTAATGACGTAGGCTACACACTTCGCGATTATGCATGGTGAGCGCGCTCAGGAAGCCACGCTCATCATGCTTTCGCGGCAAGTACAGCCTCATTACTGACGATCTCGGGTGATGGATCCTACGGGATGTCATGGTAGTGCGGACTTTTCTATCCAGGGCATTAAGTTCAGTCTGACTCCACCTGAGTATGCCAAAGGTATAAATGAAGACAGGCATGACTCAACCATTATATGCATGTGTCTTATTCATACCGGACAAAAGGCTGTTAAGCACTTTGATCAAGCGTGCATAAAACACGTCGCAAACTGACTGTTTCATACCAGCCTCATCGATACCGATGTTCTGTGACATACCCAGGTATCGGTATGTTTCAGCCTCGGAAATGATCCTTAAGTTGACGGGCATAGATAATTCTATGCCCTCAGAGTTAGCAACCCTTCCTCTTTCAATATGGAGGACTGCACACTTATCCGTCCCCAGCTCCATTCTAATAGAATTGCTAAATTCACAAGTGATGTTTAGCAATTCCATAAGATGGAAGCGATTGGAGGCGAATAATTTGAGGTCATCCATATAGAAAAGGTGGGTCACTTTTGTACCTCCTTTCCGAAGCTGAAATCCCCTCCCGCAGCCCTCCAGTAAAGTACTGAGAGGGTTCAAAGAAAGGCGGAACCAGATTGGACTCAGACAGTCGCCCTGGGATATACCCCTTCTTATCCTTATGCGGCTTTTCGCAGCCGTTATCCGCTCGCCTAAATGATAGAGGATCGTACTCCACTGCCCCATACACTGCTCGAGGAAGTCTCGAACTGTACAGTCAATCTTGTACAGCTCGAGGAGTCTCTTTAGGCATGTATGCGGCACCGAGTCGAATGCCTTTCTGTAGTCTATCCAGGCGGCGGAGAAGTTCCGACGGTTGCGTTTCACCACTTTGCTAATGACCGCGTCAATGAGGAGTGGTTTCTTGGTTCCACGACCGCCGCCCCGACATCCATTTTGAGCGCGCGACATCACCTGATTTGAGTCCAGGTGATGAGAGATTTTCGCGCTCAAAATGGATGTTAGTGTCTTGTATACGGTCGGTAGATACGTGATGGGGTGGTATTTGCTCGGGTCTGTGGCAACCTTATCTTTAGGAACTAAATGAGTGATCCCAGTAGGGAAGAGGCTCGGGAGCGACTTCTGGTTGAGAGCCTCTTGGAACTGTCGGGCGAGCACAGCGTGACACACCATGAACCCCTTAAGCCAGCAGTGATGCAGCCCGCCTCAGCTACGTCATCCGGCGTTATGATAACTGGGTCCATGGGCGTAATACCTGCACACTGACTCGCCACAACTTCCGTCCAAGGGCCCTCGTTGTGGTTTACAGGCTCTGACCACAGGCTGCGCCAGAATGCGACCGCGTCGGCCTGATTTGGTGCTGGGCGCGTTCCACTTACCATTGGTCGCTCCAATGATTTATAGAGCCTCTTCTGATCACTCTGGAAGAGACGATTCTGGTTGAACCGTGTCGACCTCTCGGTATATTCAAGCAGCGATTCTTTGCTTCAGGTCATCTATGCGCTCCGTCAGTTTTTGCATTATATCCGGCTGGGACAAACTAACATTTGTCCCAGCAAACGCCACCCTGACGGTGCGCACAATCCTTGGCCACGTATTGCCTGACCTGAAGCAGATCAGTCTGCCGATGAGGGCCATAGCCTTTGCGATACGTTATTCAATTCTTATTCTCCAGGCTGGGATAGCACTACTTTGTCCAATAGCGCGTCTAGCCGTGGAAAGTTTGGCGCCTATAATACGGCAGACTGTCAGTGCGGCGTCAAAAAGAATTGAGTCCGTCTCACAAAGGTCCCGGCTGGCTTCCAAATAGGTAACCAGCATTGGGCTCAGAGCCCTCACGACAGCCCGATTCCGCTTGCTTAGGGCTATGCGGGGAAGTCGCGGTATTATTATTTTTATTGATATTATTATAGTTATTTATTATTATTAATTTTAAAATTATTATTAAAGATTAGACTTAAAGATGCTTATCAAAGGTGAATTAGAAACATTTGTTCATTCAGCAATGCATTGTTACCATTATTATTTTTTTAAATCTCCAACTGTTCCAGTACACACAGTCGAAGCCCCTTATTACAATACAAGTATGTAAGACTTCAAAGGAATGGTCGCTGGCTAGGTTGTGTCCAGTGTCCAAGAGATGTTTAGCAAAATGGGATTTATCAGGATTGCAATTTCTGTACGCGGCCAAATGCTCTTTATAGCGCGTCCCGAAATTGAACTGACCCACGTAAACGGCGTGTCATTCGTCACAAACAAGTTTATAAACACCCAATTTTGGAATAATATTTAACTTATCTTTATTATTAAAAATATTCCTAAGCGAATTGTTTGTTTTGAATGCCACGTTAACGCAGTTTTTTCTAAGAGTATTAGTTATTTTTCCGATATGGAGCCTAAGAAGGTCAAACTACCCACACATCGATGGACACTGAGATCGAACCGCGTACAAAGTATTGCGAACAACATGCTTTTGTTTAATTTTAATAAGATCATTAATGAGATTTTTTGAAAAACTGTTAGAGACTGCAATTTGATAAATTATATTAAGTTCTTTTAAATAATTTTCTTTACCTAATGGAACATTGAACAGACGGTTAATGTAACAATAAAAAGCGGCTAATTTATGTTGCCAGGGATGACACGATGACGCGGGGATGACCGTGTCGGTATGAGTTATAATAAAGTGCGGTTGAAAACCCACCTAAGAACTCAGTATTATTTCCTATACATAATTTAATGTTCAGTGAAGAGTAAATAAATAAATGTATTTAAAGTCTTAGACAGGTAATTATTAACTTGGGAACATGCGTTTCGGCAGCGATAATTTATGGAACTAAGACTTGTTCCTTCACTACAGCGGGTCGTATGAGAAAGCTTAAAGGCACATACATAGCTGGTTATGGGGTGAGCAATACTCAGTTAATCGGCGTGTTAGAATCTGTTACAATCATATTAGGCATAGTGTTACGGATCACTAAGCTGAATAGTCTTTTTACCCTCAAGGTTAATGATTCGTTGGACATATTGCCTTAAAAACCGACCTCCGGTGGGGAAAAAGGATACCCGAATGACAGTCACACAGCGTCAAGCGCAGTGTGAATTTACCTTCGTTAGATAGAATGGAGTAATAATAAAGGCATTCGTCTATTGATACTGGTGGCTCAAGACCATATTTTGTGGCCGTCATTAAAAGTCATGCCATTGTTGACATAGTCACGCAGCCCATTATAAGTGTGTAGGCCAGCCTATGATTAGTCTGTAGGCGATCTAGCCTACAGAATTGTTATGGGCTGTAATAATGACAATGATAACGAAGTATTGATTACATCTCAAAATACTTTTTTATTTATTGTATTTTATTCGTTTAGGACTTATAAAAATACTGATGTGATTGTATTATTACAAAAAATCCTCTTCTCTTCTTATTTGATTTTATAACAAAGCGAAGAGAAACAGGATGTAAGAAGAAAATCTTTTGTTAATCTGATTGCCAGACGAGTCAAGCCGATTGATCGATTGAATAATTTTTCTGACCTAAGCGGAATAAATTTAAGGTATTTTATAGATATAAACAACATAATCACACATTTTGAACAAACATAGAATTTCTTAAAATATAATTTTATCAAAATGCATTAGTTCTAAATAGATTTATTTTGATTTCCCTCAAAGTGACTTAGAAGAGTTAGCCTGGTACTACTACAAAATTTTCTTTTTTTGGTAGTTAAAGATTGAAACATAATTTAAATAAAAAACACTTCAGTAGGTGTTTTCCAAAGCCGGGTTATTTCAGTTTTTAGTGCATGGTATTAACTAAATAACTTTATTTCCTTCGCTCCTATATTGTAATTTGATGGTACGATAAAATCGTTAAGATAAGTTTTGTGTGTAATTTAATTTTTTCGTAAAAGAAAAGTTTTATTTGCAATTTTGTTTTACGTTAAAAAATTAAGAAAACTTTTTGGGGTCCAGTAGGATATTCTACTGTATCGTGTAAATAACGCAAAGACATCCAGACTCGGAGCAATTACTGTAGGCCATTCAAACTTATAAACCAAGCAGGATTCAAACACGCAACCCTGCTGCGCTACTGAACCAACAAAGAGAAATTTAACTAGCCAATTTGTTATGAAATATAACTTAATAATCTGTTAGAGAACCTCGTGTGTTAATAATGCATCTACAATGACTGTTAGTATTCAAAATAAGGTTATTAATATCTTATTGCATAATAAAGTCCAAGATTCGAGTTAAACTTTCAGTCACCACATTTTCAGCAAAATAGTATAGCGTTTCGTTGAAGCGTATGCACGTATGCTCGATCAGATTCAATATCGGGGACTGTGAGCCTCAGTCCGAAGCTACCACATTATATTCATGCCGCTACTAATTTACTAATTGAATCGTATCTGTTCGGGCCTTATCATACATAGGCACAAACATTTACCTTTATTTAACAAATTAACTAAATAATTAAAATTAACCAAACTAAATAAAAGTATCTTTACATACCAATCCAAGATTTCATAAATCTAACGTCTATTTTATGTACCACCTTGAGAGTCTATCAATTTTTGTTTGATAAAATGACTTTATCTATAGAGATGAAGTAGATGGCGCTATTAAGCAATTTTACTCGAAGTAAAATATTCTTTAGATTTAATTACACTAAAATTAAGTCTAAAAATAAGAACTGTCAAATGTTTTGCAATAGAATTTAAATATTGTCTTCTTTTTTATGCCGCACTTGTGGTTGAAAATGCACATATTAATAAATAAATCATTTATTTATTTCAAAAATATTTATTTTATGTTTTATTTCATTTGAAAGTTTCACTTCTATCGCGCACATGTTTTTTAGAAAATTTTGGGTTTTGCAAACTCCCTTTATTTTTAATTTGTTTCTGTTAATGTCTGACATATTCATTTACGTCATGTTAATTTGTTCATGCTAACTTGACTAAATTTGATAAAAGATATATAATCAACATACTTTTGAGTAAACCATTGTCCATACTTAGAATTTGTTCAAAGTAAAATATTAAGCTCTTGATTTAAAACACAGCTAATAAGATTAAAGAACGGTGGGTTTCAAAGTGATTCAGAATAATAATGATAAACACTAGTAACAATAATTTTAAATTCTATATAAAATTTAAACTATATGAGAGACTGAAGATTTATTTTAAACTAAAAACGCATTATATTTTTATTTGTATATTTGTTTGGATTGAGTTTAAGTTCATAATCTAAACCGAAGGCAAATTTAATGTAATGAATGTGTTTCAAAATTTAATGTTTGGACAAGTAATATATCTTATCAATTTTTTATGTCTTTATCTATTAAAATATTATAAGGTTTATTTAAATTAACATCATATCGTATTTTTTATACCCCGAAGATAAAGAGAACTGTTAGAAGTTTGACCACTTTGTGCCTGCCTGTGTCTCTGTCTGTAATATATCTAGTAATATATCAGTTATTATCTAGTTGTCTTCTCGAGATAAACCCGGTACTCATTCCGCTCATGAACATTAGGAAAAGGTATACTCAGATTCTTGACTTACAAATATAGAATTACCAAAAACTTTAGACAATATTATTACTGCATTAATTGTTGCATGTTTCTGTATAATATTTATGTCGACATGAGAGTCTAATTTATTGCAGTATTTATCTAGATTTTTAGTGATCATCCCTGTAGCACCAAGCACAAAAGTTATGACTTCAGTAGGTGTTTTCCAATACCAGGTTATTTCAGTTTTTAGTGCATGGTATTAACTAAGTAGCTCTATTTCCTTCGCTCCTTTATTGTAATCGGATGATACGGTAAAATCGATAAGGTAAGTTTTGTTTGCAATTTTGTTTATGTAAATTATATCTGGCCGTGCGTCATTGCAATATCTGTTTGAACAGGCATTTTCCATTTTCCACACCAGTTTGGTAACATTTTTTTTTTGATATAAAAACGACAAATTTTTTAGCAATGAACAATGTACACTAACCAAAAGCAGAAATTGAAAGTCTTCACTTACCGACTGAAGAAGGGTGGTGGGGGCTGACTAATATAGGAACGTTTTACAAGACTCAGATTATAAAATATAGAAAGTAAAGTTCAAGTAAAGGATGCTGCTTACCAGCCTGCATGCATCCTTTTTGATAAGGAGATATGATATTGTTTCGATCACACCGCATATAAAGTTCTTTTGAATTACAGACGTTAAGAGTTTGTACATGGTAGGTAAGCACGATATAACTCTCTAGTTTTTGGGTCTAGGGTGTTCTCACTTTTGGGGATCAATATTAATTACCAATCCAGTTGTAAACCATTGTTTGACAGATTTGATTCCTTTCAAAATCCTATCAAATAATTGAGCA